TCTGCAACTAATCAATGTTAACCGAAAACAGTTTTACCTCGACTTGTGATGGGCCTAGGTCCAGATAAACCTTGTTCAGTCACTGGACGCTGAACGACGTTCGGAACTTCGAAACCTGCAACATTTCAGCAAAGTCAGTATGTTTCTGTTCCCATGCGCGGTGCGTACTCACTTGCAGTTTTGCTCAGCCTTGAGGCAGATCGTTTCGCGTTGCTTCCGGTGGCAAACCTACCGGTGGCAGCCGTTGATACTGGCCTACGACCAACATTAGCTACAAAGGGCACGATCCTTGAGCACGTGTCGTAGAGAAGCCCAACTTTCACGTCACACCTCTCAGTTACTTCTTGTAATACTTCTTCTTTACTGTATTATTGGTTTACGTGTCAGATGCTTACCCAGTTTGGCCAGATTTCTTTCTACGTAACACACTTATCCATTCAATCGAAGATTTGCCACGTGAGACCTCAGTGTAATTTACTTGAAAAAGCTACTCGTGTTCAGGTCACATCGTTACTGACAAATCAGCAGTAGAAGCACGTTTACCAGAAAGGCAGTTTTGAGAATTAATTTAATTTGTCACAGTTGTGAAGAAAGTGAACAATATTAACAAACTCTGCGAGAAATAAAGCCGCAGGTAAGGAACTACTTCTTTCGAACAATAAAAAATACCGCCCTTTACTCGACGCTGTTCCGACGCGACCGATCATTGAAGAAGTTCGGCCATTGGCTGTCATCCTTCGGTTTGCCATCATTCGTTGCACGTAGTCTGTGAATCCATTCTCAACGAGGGAAGTACGTGATGCTGCTGGACGTCATACAAAAGACTGCCTAATTTGCGTACTACTCAGGCACAGTTCAAAATCATGCCACTGCCTACGTCGTTTTGCAGTACTCGATTTTCCGGCGGTGTGCATCGATTCGCCGGTAGAGTTGTAAATAAGCGCCCCTCGTTGCCACGCAACGACAGCGCCGATATTAAAGACTCATTTACCTGAGAATTTGTGATGAGCACCGTTGTGGCTGACTGGCAAGGCGCGCATAAATAAGATAACCTATTTACACACCTATCGATAAATCGTAGTTAAAAGAAAACTAGACTATTGCTACTGCACGCCTCAATAGGACGTTCAGTGCTCGGTAAGTGGCTTTCAGAGCGAAGTAAATGTAAATTCAAAAGGAGGAATCACACTGGAAAGTTAAGCAGTAGCTTCTCAATGGGTGAGAGCTTGAATCACTATGAGCTTTTCAATTAACGTCGCCATAAACCAGCATGTTAAAACCGGATCTCGAAACTAACGTGCATTCTGTCGTTTGAAACGATAAACGTTCAAAACAGGAAGCGTTCCAACCAAATCATCCGTTTCCTTGCAGCGCATACGAGACATATCTAATTCGGAAATGGTCGTTAATTAACGAATAGACATTCCAGAGTGAATATAAAGGATGACAGTCCAATAGATGACTTTCTCAAATTTTCAGTATATGCAGCAATTGGCACAGGAACGGGAACGTTGGAAGCACTGTCTGACGCACCTGCCTCCGTGACCCGAAAGGAGAAGCGATCATGGAAAATGATGATGTTGCAACTGTCAATTTTTAATGATCTAGGGTAGCCTTTTGTAGGTGAGAATGTCCTTTAATGATTACCATTCACCAACAGCTGAAAAGCTGATTTAATTAAACATTGTTACATGTTCCACGCAGCTGAAAAAAATTACGCTTTTTCATGTCAAACAAAACCCTCTTGTTCATCACTTTTTTGTGGCTCAGATCTATCCATGTCTGTTTTAGAACCGGTGAACAGCTATTTACATAATTTATTAAATGTACTTTTTGATTTGAGCTCAAGCGCAGAGGA